AAAGAGTCCTGTCATTGCTTTTGTATGGACTGGGTGAACACAAAAAGAGTAAAAATGCTCTTTTTGTGGGTTTTGTTTTCTGATGCAGTTTATATTTCTGGTTTTCTTTTCAGACAGACACTATCAACACTATGTGTGGATACAAAACCATTGACCAAGAGGTAACGTAACCAGTGTCTGCCCTGCTGTGGCAGAAGATGCTGCTTTGCATTCATTTTGGTCGGTTATAAAGTTGTCTTCTGCATGCTTAAATCTGCCAAGCAGTTACATCAGCAATTCATTCTTTTTTCTGGAATAGCTTCCCTAGTGTTAAAAACCTAAGCTTGCATGATTGTGGTATCTTCCCTTCATTGTCTCTTCCACGATTCCTTGTTTGACGTGCATCAAGTACAACTTCCCAAGCTAATTGCACGGTCACTGCACACAAAGCTGCTTTCATAGTTGTAACTGTGATGGGCCCTTCTCCTTCAGCCCCAGTGACTCCGGAGTAGAGACTGCCCCTCCAGGCAGTAATTGTGAAGTGATTGAGAAGGACAATCGGTGACGAGGTGCCCTGAGTTCTGCACTCCTGGCTTGGGGTGCTGCTGTGGGGGTGGTCTGGAAAAGCCCCTCTGCCCAGCTCACCTGAGGCACTTGATGCACAACCTCAGTGGGTTTGGGATTACTGGTTATCTTTACATATGACTTGTCTTCATTTAGGTTCATTGATTTATGGCTGGATCACCGAAATCTTTCAGCCTGGCTCTAACGCCCTGAGCACTTTAGCGTATGCTTCACTTTACCCCATTCATCTGCCTAGGACCCTTTGCTCAGGTGCTTTCTGTGGTGTGGGCTGGGATCACAGAACAGTGCAGCTTGCAGGACTGAGTCTGAAATCATCTTGTTCCTGCCCTGTTTAGAGTTTATTGCAAAGCACTTGGTCCACGATTTATATTTTTCCACTGCTGTACTTTCACCTTGGAAGCAGAGATGAAAGCTAAGGAGAGACTTCTCTGCTTTCCAAGTGGTCTCAGATGAGAGTTGGATGAATTTCTTGTAGAAAAGTATCTGCAAAAACGTGTTTAAAAGGATAAAATAACTTATTCAGGTGCAGGACAACTTAAGAACAGACGGAAGAATTAGTGACCAGATCTCTGTTAAATTCGGTGGGTTTAAAGAGATGGAAGGGAGGTCTAAATTTGCCTGCCTGAATTTTGAGTCGCCACATGTGTCATAGAGCAGTGGAACTGCCTGTTTGAACGTTCTCTCTGTCACTTTGCAGCGCCTGAGTGTGCAGCATGTCATATACGTTCGAGGGTGCACGAATGCAGTGCTCATCTGGTTTCTGGACAACTACAGCATCATGGCTGGCGTGCTGCTCGGCATCCTGCTGCCCCAGGTGGGAAGCAGCCGCTGCGTTTCCGTTACGGAGAACCTCTGGTGTGTCGCTACGCGTGCGAAATTTCACTGGAGTATAGTCCTAACTTTTTATTGAAGCTTAATGTACCTGATGGGCTGAGGTGATGTTCTGGTAATTCAGTAGCGTTACTGAGATACGTTGTGGGATTTGGTAGGGTAATCTGGTTTTGCTTGAGGTGTTTTTGAGTCCTCTCCTGCCCTACCTGCATCTGCTGAGACATCCAAAGCACGGGGGTGGCAATGCTGCTGTGCTAGCTACTCACAGAAACAATCCAAAGCACGGGGGTGGCAATGCTGCTGTGCTAGCTACTCACAAAAATGATCCATTTATACCCCAACATCCAAAGGAGATTAACAGTGTGAGCTTCCGTCTCTCGCATGGTTTGTAAAATCTGCTGCAGGAGGCATAAGATGTTTGTGTTCCCTCTGACGAGAGATGCCCCTTCCTTTTGCAGTTCCTGGGAGTGCTGTTGTCCCTGCTGTACATAACTCGAGTGGAAGATATCATCACCGAGCACAAGCTGAGTGAGAGGCTGTTCGTGGACGGGCAGCAGAGCTCTGCCCCCGAGTTCCCAGAGGCTGGCTGCTGCATGTGCTACCCGGGCTGACTTCAGACCCCCAGAGACAGCTAGAGCCAGGCACGTGGCCCTGCCCTGGTTTGCTCTGGCCGTGGCAGCCCGTGAGCTGTGGAGCCGTGGCGGGTGCCTCACAGCCCT